GGTGATCCTTCACTTTGGTATCACCTGTGCGATGAGTTGAACAAACAGGCCTGGACAATGCTAGCATTAGTAGCATTCGCAATTTGTGACACGATAATGCCAGCCAAGGACAGCTTCTGATCCTTAACATCACTCTCTTGTCAACAGCGGGAGGAGGAGGAGGCGGTGGCGGTGGTGGTGGGCGATTTGGAGGCGGTGGCGGCGGCGGCGGTGGCGGTGGTGGTCCATCTGGAGGCGGTGGCGGCGGCGGCGGCGGCGGTGGTGGAGGCTGCCACTGGTGGTGGTGTAAGGGGAAGTAGCATCACCACTGTTCTTCGAAATATACCGATCTGATCTGAACGGACTGACGGACCAAACTGAACACTTAACCACTGCAGCATGATGAAGACGACCGCGGTGTGTAGCTTAGATCTACTGATTAATTGGCAACGTTGGCGATGCACCCATTCGGTCATAAGCAAGTTGGATGTGCCACGCAATACACATCAAACTTTTTTCTGTTTCCGATGCGTTTTTCTGCACTGCCCTGTAGCTACATGCGGTGTGAACGTTTGATACCATCCAATGACTGTTTGCCAAGGATCTGCCCTCGTATTGAGCGTCGGATAGAATGTATTCGTCCTTCGACTTACTGGAACGGCTCGGCACAAACGGCAAGTTGCTACATACGAGCACAAATATATATGTGCTAGAGGTTCCGTGATGGAGCAGAACTTTGGCGCGATCAAAGAAAGTAACAGGCCACGTCTAACTCTCGCGTAGATTTTACTCTTGTTCATAACGTGAACTCGTTGGAAGTGGTGTCGATGGTATCCTGGTTTTTCCAAATTCAGAATAATAGAGCCTCGCTGAAATCAACTATTGATGAACTTGTCTCAACGTGATCCGGCGATTGGTTTCAATTAGTATGTTGCTAAGTCAATAACTGATGACAGTAGGCAAGTTCAAAGGTACACTTTTACCAGAATCGGTTAGTGCGGAGCATGATGACTCGTAGTTTGTTTGTTCTATACCGGCATATTTTGGTGTAGGGCTCCGTAAATGTAGCAGCATTACTGTCACAATCTTTTGACTCGTATTCCGCTCTGGGCCCATTGCGATGCGAGCCCGCGAGTCCGGCGCCGTCTCCGCACTCCGCCTCAGCCTCCACCTTCGAACAACCTGCAGAGTATTCTAGGGACAATTAGACAGTATCCTAGTGTCAAAACACGCACATGCAGTACCTAAAAGGCTACCGCGATTTTGGTGTGATTCCACGACGTACTGGAGAGATCTTCTCATAACCTATTAAGGAGAGGGGGGGGGGGCAGCATATCCATGCTGAATTCAGTGGTGAAAATTTCGTGCAGATCGGTCTGTTAGCCTTGGAGTTCGAGATGCTGAGCAAACAGGAAAACAACGTTGAGATCATTTGGTGAGCCGCGACACATGTCATGCCTGACGTGCATTCCAAGACAGCGAGATCATCAGCCATGCTGAAGACAATATTGCAAGTCTCGTGACAGTCAATTGCATCGCCAGATTGTCAGGAACAACGGTTTTTTGTCAAATTATTTCATAACCTGGAAGCCTATGCCAGGCTGCGATACTGAAAATGACTCACAAATCATACACACCGAAGTTAATGGCACCGCTTACGTAAGCGCCAAGGCTCGAACCTTGCATCATCGTTTTGGAGCATGATTTGCCAGCATGTTCCAAACATTTTGGAAGATGGATGGGCATAGATACAGGGGGTGGGGGGGGGGGGGGGAAGGTGTAAGACATTGCCCAAACATTGCGTCAATTCTTCGAGGACAACCCAATGCCGCTGCATGCGCGTCTGTAAGGAATGGTTTGCTCCATTCGCTTTATTTTGAGAAATTATTAACACAAGAAAAGAAGCTGGGAGACAGCTGCGTGAGCGGTGGGAACAAAACAGTTGACGCTCGCCCGGGTGGCCGGTTGGATACCCTTCGCTTGGGTGGAGGTAAGGGGTCAATTTGACCACCTACCCCCTGACATCTTAGGAACTAAGGGAGCTAGAGACGCTAAATTCACAGGGTGTGCTGACCTGTGCGTGAACTGTCTTCGTTCAACGTCAAGAACTTCTCAATCATGACCTTCGAGTCAAATAAGGTTAAACAAGGTCAACTTTCAGGTTGGTCTCCAAAGGACCCTTAAACTCTAGATAACTGTTCTAATCAAGAGGTCACGTGCTCATCTAAGGTCATTGACCTTGTTTGACCTCTTAGAGGTCATAGTGACCACAGTTATACAAGACTGCTTTGAGTTTTGCATTTGAATAAGCGACAAAGATTACCCTAGGCAGTATGTTACTAAAAACAAAACGTTGACTTCAGTCATCCTAGGTCAGTGACTTGTCCTGACCTTAAAGAAATCTAGGGAACGTGCGTAATGCGGTTCCTGTTGTCAATAAATTTGAAATGAGCACCAGAAACTACCCGATACAGCAAGCCCCAGAGTAAAAACATATGTTGGTTTTGACCTTGGTCTGACATTCATATCAAACCTTAGGTCAATGTAATTTGTTGATTCAAGTGTTGTGTGGCATAGGACAATATTTCAGAGATGTATGGCTTCGTCTAACACTCCGTTGCTGGATCACATTGAGCGACTTCTTAGAAATTGCCCCCGCTGAAACCATGGCCTGACTTTCACCTGCCATAGGTCAATGTCAGGCGAATTGCTACTCAGCTGTCTACAGTTACGCAAAATTTGTCGCGGCTACGCCGCGCCGTTGGGAAACCATTCCGAAAAAAACCTTGGGGGAGGGGGTCAATTTGACACCCCACCCGACCGCGTGTTAAGAATGAATGCATACAACTTGCATGAAGTTACAAATCACATCACCCAAAGTTAAACCAGCACGCGGCCTAGTCGCTGAGGAGGAGGCTTCCACTTTAGTTCAGCTTTCAGCCTTGCCTTCCATAGGCATTGACAGCTGTTAGTTTTGATATTGTTGTTACACAGTTAGCATCAGGATAAAAAAAGCATTCGCAAAATGATACGTGCGTACATAGGATGCTGTCTAGAGATTTCACTGCTGAGTAGTTCTGTTAGCTGTTCCGTGATTTGGCTCAATCTGCACCTGTCCAACAGGCTCGATATTAATGTTGTGCTTCATGTTTTCAGGTTTAATCATTACAAGTCGTCTGTGCTGTTTCTTATTGCGACAGCAAAACGTGTTGGACCCGGACATGCCCTTTTTGGGGTTATCTCATGCTTGTTTTCATACACAAATGCTTTTTGGTGGTCCAGCGTGACATAATCCGAGTGGGTAAGAGGGACGGTCAATGGCCGACGAGTGCTGCACCGCATGCATCATTCTCATATCTACCGCTCCTGGCCATAGCCACGGATTTGTCTGGATGGCCCCGCTTCATGGTCCCATTTCAGTGCATCGGTTGCCCCAGGGGGGTGGCGCCGCCATTACTGTTCTCCGACGCAAAAATACACGAGAACACCGCGGCACTCCCAGCCCTCCCCCCTCCATTCGCCTCTGCACGTGAGGTTCAAGGTCTAAGGTTTAGGCATATCAGCATTTTTTACCATGATATTACTGTATGTAATCCCGAACTTTGGTGACCAGGCAAATACCTTTTGTTTGAAATCTCAAACACTAGCATGGACAGTGACACGCAGAGTCCAAAAGTGGCTCATTGGCAATAAGGCTCGCATATAGGCGGACGAACATGTACGGCACGCAGCTGAAAGAAATGTTCAAGGCACCAGGGCAAACCAATACTGGTAGCTCATTGATGCGCTAGGTACTGTATTTATTAGCAGTTGGGGTGTCTATTAGTCAGTTCACAGTGCATAGATGTGTTGTCAATGGGGCTGGGACTCGCTCGTGCAAATTTGCCCTCCCCCGTCGCTAACCCTGGCTCCACCCCTGACACGCACTCCCTTCGCCAGAGTGGCATAGATGGCTGTACCACTTGTATGGTAGTCAGGTCCCACTTTGTAAACAAGATTATGGTTGGAAAATGTCGTTTGAATCTCATATTGTAGTCTGCAAACTGCCCAGATGGGCATAGATTGCGCATGCGTTAAACTGTAAATCGGGTTGAAAGATCTCTGCATAAAACAGACCATAATTTTCTTTTTAAGCACACGCATACCCACGTCGGCGCGCCGGCGATGTCCAGTTGCTTAGAAGGAGCTGCACTTGGTCGAAGGCATGGTTTAACATTGGGTGTGGGACTGGTCCTAACCAGATGGCCAGGATCAGTCATGATCTCGAAAATGATCAAATCAGATTACCGCATTCTCCACATTTATGGTTCAAGAGCAACAGTGTACTCATGTTTTCAGGGCAGTTGGATCGTTTTTTTATGTAAAAAAACAAAGTACCTTCATTGTGCCGTTTAACACTTTTGCAAGAGGCCGCCTCGGAGGAGCAAATGGGCATGTTGCTGCCAAAAGAACGCCTTTGATGCTCACTCTTGCACAACGCTCGCACACCACTTCGAATATCTCCCACACGCGACATAATAGCGCGCACCGAGGCCACATAACAATACAAACTTGACGCCATGCTGCACGACAATAGACAAGACCGATCACAGCATTCCTGCGTGACTACTGTTTTCCAAGCGACGCAGTCGACGTTGCAATGCAACGCCGCCGCTCAAGCCAGTGCGACTTTGTGACGTACACGCCTAACGTTGGGGAGCCGCCCGCCCGACCAACTTCTCAAGCTGTGATGATGGCCCCCTGTTATGGACGCCACAAAGCTTGGATAACTAAAGCTGAACGTGCGAATAATCTGCGGCCACTGCCAACCTGTCTTTCTTAATATGTACAATCACCCTCTATCGGAAGAAAAGGCCCGTAATCGCCCTCCCGGATTCGCCGAACTCCTCTTGACTCCAAAAATACCAGGATTTCTCGTGCTGCGGCGACAGTGGCTCCGCCCGTGGCAGAACGCCTCGGAGATGACTGATCGCGCTTAAGTTGGATATAAAAGGTGAACCCGGTGAGCGGACCGCATCAGACCCACCATGAAGTGGTTCAGCTCCACCTTCCTGCTCGCTCTGCTGGCGACGCTGCTGGCGGTCGCCACGGCAGCTCGTGAGTACCACTGCACTGCGGCCGTGTGAGGCTGCCGCCGCAGAGACTTGTTTGAACTCCACCTCAAAGCGACACCGTTCCGGTTCCGTTTGCAGCACTCTATTGAAGACTGCTCGGGAAAAGAATCGAGTGTTTAAGATACTGTTAGCAGGGCATAGGCATAAAATCGAAAGGCCTTGAAATCCACTGTCACACCCAAAGGCTGCTCAATTTTATCAGAGTGGCCAGAGTTGTCGAATCATGCATATATATTTGAATACGGTCTTCGGATTCGTGCTGTGCAGTCATTGTCAGATTTGTCTTCAAATATTTTGATTACTGGACGTAAGTGCCGTGGCATTAAGGGCAGTAATCACGGTGTTGGATGAGTGTCTTGGTGCATACAAGGTGATCCTTCACTTTGGTATCACCTGTGCGATGAGTTGAACAAACAGGCCTGGACAATGCTAGCGTTAGTAGCATTCGCAATCTGTGACATGATAATGCCAGCCAAGGACAGCTTCTGATCCTTAACATCACTCTCTTGTCAACAGCTGGAGGAGGAGGAGGCGGTGGCGGTGGTGGTGGCCGATATGGAGGCGGTGGCGGCGGCGGCGGCGGCGGTGGTGGAGGCTGCCACTGGTGGTGGTGTAGGGGGAAGTAGCATCACCACTGTTCTCCGAAATATACCGATCTGATCTGAACGGACTGACGGACCAAACTGAACACTTAACCACTGCAGCATGATGAAGACGACCGCGGCGTGTAGCTTAGATCTACTGATTAATTGGCAACGTTGGCGATGCATCCATTCGGTCATTAGCAAGTTGGATGTGCCACGCAATACACATAAAACTTTTTTTCTGTTTCCGATGCGTTTTTCTGCACTGCCCTGTAGCTACATGCGGTGTGAACGTTTGATACCATCCAATGACTGTTTGCCAAGGATCTGCCCTCGTATTGAGCGTCGGATAGAATGTATTCGTCCTTCGACTTACTGGAAGGGCTCGGCACAAACGGCAAGTTGCTACATACGAGCACAAATATATATGTGCTAGAGGTTCCGTGATGGAGCAGAACTTTGGCGCGATCAAAGAAAGTAACAGGCCACGTCTAACTCTCGCGTAGATTTTACTCTTGTTCATAACGTGAACTCGTTGGAAGTGGTGTCGATGGTATCCTGGTTTTTCCAAATTCAGAATAATAGAGCCTCGCTGAAATCAACTATTGATGAACTTGTCTCAACGTGATCCGGCGATTGGTTTCAATTAGTATGTTGCTAAGTCAATAACTGATGACAGTAGGCAAGTTCAAAGGTACACTTTTACCAGAATCGGTTAGTGCGGAGCATGATGACTCGTAGTTTGTTTGTTCTATACCGGCATATTTTGGTGTAGGGCTCCGTAAATGTAGCAGCATTACTGTCACAATCTTTTGACTCGTATTCCGCTCTGGGCCCATTGCGATGCGAGCCCGCGAGTCCGGCGCCGTCTCCGCACTCCGCCTCAGCCTCCACCTTCGAACAACCTGCAGAGTATTCTAGGGACAATTAGACAGTATCCTAGTGTCAAAACACGCACATGCAGTACCTAAAAGGCTACCGCGATTTTGGTGTGGTTCCACGACGTACTGGAGAGATCTTCTCATAAGCTATTAAGGAGAGGGGGGGGGGGCAGCATATCCACGCTGAATTCAGTGGTGAAAATTTCGTGCAGATCGGTCTGTTAGCCTTGGAGTTCGAGATGCTGAGCAAACAGGAAAACAACGTTGAGATCATTTGGTGAGCCGCGACACATGTCATGCCTGACGTGCATTCCAAGACAGCGAGATCATCAGCCATGCTGAAGACAATATTGCAAGTCTCGTGACAGTCAATTGCATCGCCAGATTGTCAGGAACAACGGTTTTTTGTCAAATTATTTCATAACCTGGAAGCCTATGCCAGGCTGCGATACTGAAAATGACTCACAAATCATACACACCGAAGTTAATGGCACCGCTTACGTAAGCGCCAAGGCTCGAACCTTGCATCATCGTTTTGGAGCATAATTTGCCAGCATGTTCCAAACATTTTGGAAGATGGATGGGCATAGATACAGGGGGTGGGGGGGGGGGGAAGGTGTAAGACATTGCCCAAACATTGCATCAATTCTTCGAGAAGGACAACCCAATGCTGCTGCATGCGCGTCTGTAAGGAATGGTTTGCTCCATTCGCTTTATTTTGAGAAATTATTAACACAAGAAAAGAAGCTGGGAGACAGCTGCGTGAGCGGTGGGAACAAAACAGTTGACGCTCGCCCGGGTGGCCGGTTGGATACCCTTCGCTTGGGTGGAGGTAAGGGGTCAATTTGACCACCTACCCCCTGACATCTTAGGAACTAAGGGAGCTAGAGACGCTAAATTCACAGGGTGTGCTGACCTGTGCGTGAACTGTCTTCGTTCAACGTCAAGAACTTCTCAATCATGACCTTCGAGTCAAATAAGGTTAAACAAGGTCAACTTTCAGGTTGGTCTCCAAAGGACCCTTAAACTCTAGATAACTGTTCTAATCAAGAGGTCACGTGCTCATCTAAGGTCATTGACCTTGTTTGACCTTTTAGAGGTCATACTGACCACAGTTATACAAGGCTGCTTTGAGTTTTGCATTTGAATAAGCGACAAAGATTACCCTAGGCAGTATGTTACTAAAAACAAAACGTTGACTTCAGTCATCCTAGGTCAGTGACCTATCCTGACCTTAAAGAAATCTAGGGAACGTGCGTAATGCGGTTCCTGTTGTCAATAAATTTGAAATGAGCACCAGAAACTACCCGATACAGCAAGCCCCAGAGTAATAACATATGTTGGTTTTGACCTTGGTCTGACATTCATATCAAACCTTAGGTCAATGTAATTTGTTGATTCAAGTGTTGTGTGGCATTGGACAATATTTCAGAGATGTATGGCTTCGTCTAACACTCCGTTGCTGGATCACATTGAGCGACTTCTTAGAAATTGCCCCCGCTGAAACAATGGCCTGACTTTCACCTGCCATAGGTCAATGTCAGGCGAATTGCTACTCAGCTGTCTACAGTTACGCAAAATTTGTCGCGGCAACGCCGCGCCGTTGGGAAACCATTCCGAAAAAAACCTTGGGGGAGGGGGTCAATTTGACACCCCACCCGACCGCGTGTTAAGAATGAATGCATACAACTTGCATGAAGTTACAAATCACATCACCCAAAGTTAAACCAGCACGCGGCCTAGTCGCTGAGGAGGAGGCTTCCACTTTAGTTCAGCTTTCAGCCTTGCCTTCCATAGGCATTGACAGCTGTTAGTTTTGCTATTGTTGTTACACAGTTAGCATCAGGATAAAAAAAAGCATTCGCAAAATGATACGTGCGTACATAGGATGCTGTCTAGAGATTTCACTGCTGAGTAGTTCTGTTAGCTGTCCCGTGATTTGGCTCAATCTGCACCTGCCCAACAGGCTCGATATTAATGTTGTGCTTCAGGTTTTCAGGTTTAATCATTACAAGTCGTCTGTGCTGTTTCTTATTGCGACAGCAAAACGTTTTGGACCCGGACATGCCCTTTTTTGGGTTATCTCATGCTTGTTTTCATACACAAATGCTTTTTGGTGGTCCAGCGTGACATAATCCGAGTGGGTAAGAGGGACGGTCAACGGCCGACGAGTGCTGCACCGCATGCATCATTCTCATATCTACCGCTCCTGGCCATAGCCACGGATTTGTCTGGATGGCCCCGCTTCATGGTCCCATTTCAGTGCATCGGTTGCCCCAGGGGGGTGGCGCCGCCATTACTGTTCTCCGACGCAAAAATACACGAGAACACCGCGGCCCTCCCAGCCCTCCCCCCTCCATTCGCCTCTGCACGTGAGGTTCAAGGTCTAAGGTTTAGGCATATCAGCATTTTTTACCATGATATTACTGTATGTAATCCCGAACTTTGGTGACCAGGCAAATACCTTTTGTTTGAAATCTCAAACACTAGCATGGACAGTGACACGCAGAGTCCAAAAGTGGCTCATTGGCAATAAGGCTCGCATATAGGCGGACGAACATGTATGGCACGCAGCTGAAAGAAATGTTCAAGGCACCAGGGCAAACCAATACTGGTAGCTCATTGATGCGCTAGGTACTGTATTTATTAGCAGTTGGGGTGTCTATTAGTCAGTTCACAGTGCATAGATGTGTTGTCAATGGGGCTGGGACTCGCTCGTGCAAATTTACCCTCCCCCGTCGCTAACCCTGGCTCCACCCCTGACACGCACTCCCTTCGCCAGTGTGGCATAGATGGCTGTACCACTTGTATGGTAGTCAGGTCCCACTTTGTAAACAAGATTATGGTTGGAAAATGTCGTTTGAATCTCATATTGTAGTCTGCAAACTGCACAGATGTGCATGGATTGCGCATGCGTTAAACTGTAAATCGGGTTGAAAGATCTCTGCATAAAACAGACGGTAATTTTCCTTCTCAAGCACACACATACTCACTTCGGCGTGCCGGCGATGTCCAGTTGCATGGAAGGAACTGCACTTGGTCGAAGGCATTTAACATTGGGTTTGGGACTGGCCTTAACCAGAGGGCCAGGATCAGTCATGATCCTGAAAATGATCAGATCAGATTATCGCATTCTCCACATTTACAGTTAGTCCAAGAGCAACGGTGCACTCATGTTTTCATGACAGTTGGGTCGTTATTTAGAAATGTAAAAAACTTGAGTGCCTTCATTGCGCCGTTTAACATCTTTGCAAGAGGCTACCTCACAGGATGGCATCTTGCTGCCAATAAACCGCCTTTGATGCTCACTCTTGCCCATGCTCTCACACCACTTCGAATTTCTCCGACCCGCGACGTAATAGCACGCACCGAGGTCACATAACAATACAAACTTGGTGCCACGCCGCACGATAATAGACAAGACCGACCACAGCATTTCTGCGTGCCTGCTGTTTTCCAAACGACGCAGTCGACGTTGCCATGCAACGCCGCTGCTCAAGCCAGTGCGACTTTGTGACGTCACCGCCTAGACTTAGGAGCCGCCCGCCTGACCAATTTCCCAAGCTGTGATGATGGCTCCCTGGTAGGAAGTAAGAAAGGGCAAAACCGGTCAACCAGCGGGCATCAGAACCGCTTTTGGATGGACCCTAACTGGTTTTGTAAAGGGCTTCGTACCAGAGAGAACGCACCAAATGATGTTCATCAACAATATGACAGCTGATGATGAGATGTCAGCAATGCTCCAAGAATTGTGGAGCACAGAATCATTCGGGAGTAAGTTCGATGATGAAGACGCCAGATCACAAGACGACATCAGAGCAGTACAAATCATGGAAAGCACCACGCGAAGTCTGTACAATAGACAAGAGACGAAACTTTTATGGAAGAGTCACGACATTACCTTGCCGAACAACAAGACAGTGGCAATCAGCCGGCTTTGATCCCTGGAAAAGAGCCTGCTGCGCCAACCACAGAACGCGGCGGCATACAAGAAAGCGGTTGAAAGATACGCCGAATGCGGAATCGCGCGTGAGTTGACCCCAGAAGAGGACCAACAAGGACATCCGAGACCGTGGTACTTGCCTCATCATGGAGTTTGAAATCCCCGGAAGCCGGGAAAACTCAGGGTGGTGTTTGATGCCACTGAAAAATGCGACAACGTGTCTGTAAACGACATGCTCCTAACGTGGCCAGACCTCTTGAAGAACTTACCGGGAATCCTTCTAAGGTTCAGGGAAGCGCCCTTCGCCTGAACTGCCGACATCGAGTGCATGTATCATTAAGTCAGGATCATCCTGCAAGATCGGCAGGCGCTGAGGTTCTTCTAGAGAGAACTGGATGTAGCAAAGAATCCAGAACCATACA